CAGTGACCTACTTTATATCTGCATTCCGTAAAACTGAACTACTGATGGTTTTCCTCTGTGTCTGTTTTTCCCACCTAAAGTGCATCATACTCAGTCTCCCTATTCTTGAAAATGTAGTTCAGATGTCATGTCCTCAGGAGACCGTGATGATTCGTGCACTTTTCCTCTAACCCATCATTTGGAGTTGCCATAGAAGTGTTGTACTTCAGCTGAAGCTCAAATCACAGAATCTGTGTTTTAGCTTTAAGGCTAGGATATTTTCATCCCCCTTATTCCACTGTACCACATTTTTATTCGTATTTTATTAATCTGGTAATGAAACATCAGAATCACATCAGAATCTGCCCTCTGAATTAACAGTATTATTAAGAGCCCTTAGGCACAGGTCTGAGGCTATATCATTAGGCAAAAGTCACGGCAGACTCTGCCAGTTTAACTATTCCCTAAAGTTTTCCTCCATTGAGACTCAGATTTCCTGAGTGTAACTATGGCCTATAAATAGGCTTGATTCTGCTAACAGACTGTGGTGTAAAGAATAGATAAAAATCTCTGGTCTTTATCTGCTATGCGCTCCCAACCCTAGACTTGTTGATAATAAAACCATAGCTTCAGTAGGAAAATATTTTCAGCTGCTCCTCTTCATAACAGTATCTGTGAAAGTAAATAAAATAACATGATTATTTTGTCTAATATGGCTAATTTACACATTTATAGGTATGATTAATTTCTTAAATTTTGTGTCTTAAGCCACATGTTTACGTTGCCTAATAAGCAAAAAGTTGGTTGGTAACCAAGCTTTTTGTACCATTTGCTTTTCAAAGGTTTTATTTTCACACTACTTTAAAAATTAATGTTTATTAAATGCAATACTTAAGACATTATTTAATTCTAAGAAGGGAACATACTGTCTTGAAGACAAAAAAGTTACTTGGGCAATCTACAACAAAATAATTTACCAGAGTTTTCTATAAATTCAATCATGAATATTATTGTGCATACGTACTATCACTTTATGAAAACAGATTCTTACTGGCCATAATATTCTGAGATGAATTTATATAAGTTGTCATTTTATGTTATGCTCACAATAACTTTTAGGCAGTTTGAAGAGAACACATGAAGAAGAAGATGATTTTGGAAGCATGCAAGTGGCAGCTGCGCAGAACGGCTGACTTGAGAAGCGTTATAGATGGTGTGAATTGTATCTGGAAAAGAGAAAACACCAGAGCTGATAATGTAAAATGGTAAAAATGCAAGTAGTTTATTTTCAATTATATGTTGCTTCAGACATGTTTCTCTGCAACTTGTTGAGCAACATTTCAAGATGTTGGACTCCTGTAATAGATGGCACTTGCTGATGGTTTTAGGTTTTTTGTTTTGTTTTTTTTAAAACACCTTACAGTTTATTATAAAACAGAGAATTTTGGACTTGTAAAGGTATTATTGCAATAATGCACTTTTCATACTTGAAATTTATTCGTATGATACAAAGTTATTACTTTAAACAAAATGCAAGTTAGGGGATTTGCTTATAAATTTTGGGTAATTTATAACAAAGAATTTCCTAAAGTTTGCTAAAAATTCATTGTGTTCTATATATTACATTTTAAAAATAATTTTACAGTTCAGTTTTATGATGGAGCCTCTTACAGAAACATTAACAAAAGTAGGTATCTGCCATTTTTTGGGTGTAATTCAGTAACTTAATTAGCATTTTATTTTTTAAACTTCCTGATCCCTTATTAATAATCTACAGATCATGACATTAGCCAACTATCCTCACTTTATTAATTTAATACAATTAATACTTCCTTTCCAATTACATTCCTAATGTGTTCTTTCTGTATTGGGGAAAAAAGGTTTAATGATCAAAGATAGATGTTTTGCTTTATAGTACCAGATGCTCAAAAGCAAGGATAGTGTTTGATTTTTCAAATGACTTTTTTTTTTTTAAAGCAAATGTTGTATTTGTTCTTTTCAGAGTTTGCCTAGCTTAGCCCTTTTTACCTTTGTCCAAAATGGTTCTAAATAGAATAAGCCAGTGTAGCACTATTTTTTTTTCTAAATGAAACACAAAAAAAGTGCCTTGCATTATTAAAAAGAACCTAAATCCTCATGACCTCTAAATTAGTATGTAGAACAGTAAAAAGTTCTTAACATTTTTCTGTAATTTCTTTTGTTTCTAAAAATTAAATTAGTTTAAACTGAAAGTGTAAGATTTGAAGAAGCATTACTAAATTATTTGGAATATGAAACATTTACTTCTTTATATTGTCCTAATGATTCTGTGAGGTTGTTCCAGCTCAAATAAGACAATAAGCTTTTCTTTAAAGTTGCATTTATTGGGGAAAGTGATTTGTGGGTGGCTTTGGAACATTTTAAATTAGCATTATAATTAGTTTTTTACATTGAGTTAATCCAAATTTCCCCCAAATTTGCATTAGCAAAGTCACTTTATGGATCTTTAGTTCTCTGTGTTTTTATTTATATGTATAAAAGTTGTTCTAAGAAAAACATTTTTGCTATTTTAAGTATGATGTAAGGGAATAGAGTTGTATTTTTAACTTTTTATAGTTGATGAGTTTAGGGTAGCACAAACAAAACTACTTTGTATCTCACTTTTCTCAGTCCTCTCTAGAGGTGCTTTACTGATGGAAATGACATCCATACGTTCTCTTTGTACCAAGAGGCACTATGCAAGATAACTGACTCCACCAAGTTGCTTGCTTTGCTTTCCTCCTTATGGTTGGGATAATACAGAGAAAGCTCTTTTATCCAGCATAGTGGGAGAGTGAAAATTAATTAGAATTACTCTGTTAAGGGTTAATTCTTACTGGCCCTGTGGTATCCCTCCTCTGATTTCCTTGTATCTTAACCACCCTTAAAACAATGTATTGTTAATCCCATTGTGGATAGAACAGTATTCTATTGTGTGATTAGGTCATTTGGTGTAGTGGTCTAGTAGAGTCCAGATTGATTTGTGTTCAAAACTTATAGTTGGTAAAGAACCAGATACCACAGCTTTCCTGTATGTACATCAATATTGGATGGTCAGCAAAGATTTCTTGCAACCAAATCACAATCTGTGATGCTTCATTCAGCAGAAACTCTGCTTAAAATAATCATAAAAGTAAATTTGGCTCTTAAAAATGAGGTATTTGAGGTTTTGTAAAAGTTAACATCATAAAAATATGTATCTAGTAGCCTGGCCAAAAATACAGATTTGGCTATTGATAATTTTTAGCTCCTAATTTTTCACTTTTTCTAAACACTTATCATTTTTATGTTCTCACTTAAAGTGCCTGCCGAGCACTGTATACACAAGACAGTTCCTGAAATACTAGGGACTGCCATCATCTTGAGTATAATATTAATAGGGACAAAACATGAGATTTATTATTCCTTCATATGTTAACATTGCAAGTTTCATTTTTCTTCAATCTGTTTAATCCTTACTGTTCAACTAGTTCTTATGGTAACTCTTCCTGTTCTTTATTCTACTTGGTCCATTTCTGTGGTTCTTTTATTTCCAGTTATATTTTGTGATATCGCCAACTAGGAAAAACTTCATCAATCATGATTTATTTTTGAGAGGATTTGCATAATGTGTGAGTGACCCACAATTTTAACATTAAATAGGTAATGTGGGCATAGTATTTACAGTAAAATTGTATCAAAGCATAGGGAAACTCTTTACTTTGGAACTTCAGTATTGAAAATACTCAAGCTGGAATGGCAGTGTTCTCATCCTCCAATTTCAGTTAATTGACTCTTGTTAAGTTCTTATCTATTAGATGTTTAAACAATATTTTTTATCTACTCTGTGGTGGAAATGTTAAAAAGCGTGATAGCTTTTGCTACTAACTTTCAACCACTTAACATTTTGAGCAGAATATTCATTTGGGGGAGATTTTGTGCTTAATATGAGTTTAGAAGTAATGTCAGAAATGTTAAGCATGTCCTTTGTTAAAAAAAAAAGAATTATATATATATATATATATAAGGTTCCTAATTGTCTTATTTCCATGGTAATTCAAGTGAATTAGAAATATTTAACTGCAATCTTGAGTTATAAAATTGAGATGTATTTATCAGGATCTCATAATCCTATTAACAAACATAGCTTCACTTCAATATTTATGTAACCTTTGTCCATGCAACAATGCTCCAATAAGGAAATGGTAAGAAATAGCTGAGACTTAGTAGAAAGTGTTTTTTTTTTTTAAATTGATTTAGAAAAATAAGTTTCTAGGGTCTGAGTGCTGGATTTTCTTTGTCTTTCCCATCCATGGCAGCTAAAAAAAAAAAAAATCACTCACTCAAAATATTCAGGTTTACATGTTAAGCTCTCTCTCTCTCTCTCTCTGAGGGAGCTGCCATACCTCACAGTTCAAAGTGTATTCTATAAATCAGTAACATACTGACATGTAATTGCAATTTACTATGCAGCATAAAATGATTCAAGAAAAATAACGTATAGTGTCTATTTACCTCTGTATACATAATTGCTTACGTTACTCTGCTTTTAACATTTGTACTTGGATAAAATGCTTATGTATGTAAAGGAATGTCACAGTGTAAGATGCTGATGCTGCTAGCCTAGGCACAAAGTATTAAAATATTTTGTGAAGATTGTGGTTGTATTAAAACTCTTGTGCCATTATACCTCAAAAAGATTGAAAAGCTCATTCATAACTGCTTATGCCTCAAAACTTAAACAAAAAGTTTGTCTGGTTTACTCCCACAGATTCAAAAGGGTAAATGAACTTTCAGTATTGAGAACCACAAAAGAGTATCTTCCAAAAATAAGAGATTACTTTTTCTTCAGTTTTAAATATTATGTAGAACTCTGGTTTCTTATAGAGGAGATTCAAGAGAAGATCTTAAGAACACAACCATAAAGGCATTATTAAGATGCCAACTGTATAGACAATTTTACCTGAAATAGTTCAGTGGCGAGTATGATAAAGCATGAAGTTTTCCCTTTTTACTAAGCTTATTTAGCACAGGTTTTAATTACAAGAATTCTTATTAAGACTTACTCTGAAAATACAAAAAATAACTGTGTTGCTTTCATTACAGACAGGTAAGTTCATGTGTTTGTGTGTCTAGGCTGTCAGCAGGTAGGTATTCCACCCTTGATTGGCAAAGCATTTCTTTTGTTTTGGAAAGCCAACTTTAGCTGAATTGGAAGAAAATCTAAAATCCAGTTGAAGTGGTCAGAATCAAAAAGATGAGGACTATGTGGTCCTTTCTCCGTTCATTTTACAAAGAGTACACAGCACTAAGATGTTATGAAGCATAACTTAACCTGATAGTTTAGTGGAAGACTCAAGAAGAGTACAGACAGGAGTCTGACAGAAGACTCTGCATATGAACATGTTTAATTTAACATGGAATGCAAAAGATTAGAACCATTAATAAAGTACCTAATTCTTCAACTTAAAAAAATTCATTAAAATAAATAAAATCAACCAGGACAGTGACCAGAATAATAGAGCCTCTGTGATCACACTGAATAGAAAGGCTCCTGTCAACATTCTAGGGGTGTGACAAATGCAGCACCATGCATTTTTAAATATCTCAATTTGTGATCTATTTGTCATAAAAATGACTCAGAAGAGAGACTTCAGATGCCCAGGAAAAGAAAGACAGTTATTCACTCACTGTTTAAAAGTACCTTAGATGCCCTATTGTATTTGCTAGATAGATAGATGAGACGATGATACTTTACATACAATTATACAACTTTTAGTAAAACATTTAAATCATTCTACTTTGCATTTTGTCACATTTTTAAAGTTAATTTTCATTTTTTCTGTATCTTTAAAAAAGGCTGCCCAGGTTGTTTGCCAGTAGGATCAACAAGTTAGATGCATAAATGTATATTTATAACAGTTCATTTCATCTAATTAATATGATACACTCCTGTGTATTTAAATGTTCCTTTGAAATAAAAATACCTAATTTTATGAACATAAGAAACAGCCTTATTCAACATATACTTTTTTTTTTAAATGAGCAGCACAAATAGACATACAACTCCTTACTACCCATACATTTGACTACCAAGAATGAAGCCAGACTTTAGAAAAATACAATGCAAGAAAAGATTCAAGTTAAAAATATATTTCTTTGGTTAAAAATCAGCCCCTTTATAATATTCATTTGTAATCTAAACTCACAGCCCCAAGTAATTCTCTAATGCCATTATAACTTGTATTACAATGTTTTTTTAGTCCAGTATTTATGGAGGTCATTGGGTTGCAGCAACAAATGTTGTAACTCTAGGAAGAGTAAAGCCTTGTAGTATTTTCTCCCTTGACAATTCTTTCTTAAGAGATTTTTACTTAAGGAACCTCCGACACATGTAGTTTTCTTCAGACACTGTATATCCAAACTTTTTATAGAAACCAACATTTTGTGGTAGACATTCAAGAGTAATCTTGTAACAGTTCAGTTTCTTGCTTAGCAAAGTAAGAGTCGATAATAATCTGAAATTTTAAAAAGAGAAGGATGAGGAGATAATACATACCAATTAAAATGGACCTTAGTAACAATATGAATTATTATTACATAAAAATAAACTCATTTTTATTACAAGGTTTAGCTCATGGTCCTTTCCAGTGCATTCACTTAAGTATTTAAATTATAAGTTGACAAGCATTTAAATACCAAAGTATTTTTACTTAGTTTTAAATATACTTTAAATTTTCAGCTCCTAAGTAAATAGAACAAATACTAAACTCACCCTAAACCTTTTTTTTAAGAGTTTTAAAGATTATCAACTTTTGTTTAAAAAGCCAAAATTATTTTCCAGCCAGGCATTGTCCCAGTGGCTGGGGATGTGGCTCAAGAGTGGAGTAGTTGCCTAGGGAGTTCAAGACCCTGGTTTCCATCCACCCCAGCACTGTAAGGAAAAAGTCTTTGTTCTAAATCCATTCAAACTAGAGTAGTCAACATTCTCACATAAAATGGATATATAAAAACTTTGTTGTCTAATATTTAAACCTACTTTAATATTTGGAAATAAGGATTAACTTAAGATCAGTCTAATGATGTGGACACAAAGCAAAACAGTGTACATCTTTACAGATCCTTAAAAAAACAAAACCCTATATGAAAATGTGATCTAGCTGCCTTGGGGGATAAAAAACCAACTTACTGAAGGGTTTTCTTACATTTTAACAGACTAAAGAAATCTTACCATTTTGAAAACCAAAGATCTTGATTGAAGTTATAAAATGATAAAAGGTATGACTTAAGTTAAATGGACTAGAATAATAGCTGTTGGTCTATTTTGTTTATCTATATATTCCACATACCTAGCATACAGTTAGTACATTGTTAGTGCTTAGTATTTACTGAGCAGATTCCTTAAAACTCAGAGATTATAATAAAATATTCTGTTCTATAGACTAGATTAAGATTTAGCTTGTTTCCTATTAGTATTAGAATATTACTGTTAAAAGTTAAGTTAATGATGGAGGCAGGTAAAGATCAGGACTTTTTGCCTGGGCAAAAAAGTTCTTGAGAACCCATCTCAAGCAATGGCTGGGCATGGTTGTACACACCTGCTATCCTCGCTACACAGGGAAACACAGATAGAATCTCAGTCCAAGCTGGCCCAGGGAAAAGGTGGAACCCTATCCCAAAAAATAACCAATGCAAAACGGGGTGAGGGTATGGCTCAAGTGGTGATGCAGCTTGAGCACAACCTCCAGTACCACAAAATAAATTAATAAAAAAAAAGTTAACCTAAACATGTTATTCTTGGTAAGGGAGTATACTTTCAATTTTCAACTGAGGTATGTAACATAATAGTGTTTTTGTTTTTGTTTTTTCATTAAAGTCAGTAAGTGCCAGTGGCTCACGACTGTAATCCTAGTTACTCAGGAGGCAGAGATCAGAAGGATCGCAGTTCGAAGTCAGCCTGGGCAAATAGTTCACTAGACCCCATCTCAAAAAAACTCTTCACAAAAAAGGGCTGGTGGAGTGGTTCAAAGTGTAGGCCCTGAGTTCAAGCCCCAGTACTGCAAAAAAAAAAAAAAAAAAAAAAATTAAGTATAAAATTAAAAAGATTATAAATATATAAATAAAACTTAAAAGTATATTAAAAGGAAGAAAAGTCAGTCTAATGTATAGAATAAGAATTTCATAATTAAGGAAGCTCATGAAGAACTTTGAGCATTAAAACTTTTAAACAAGTGTCTTGACCTGGGGGTATAGCTCAGTGGGGGAGCACTTGCCATGTACAGGGCCCTGGGTACTGAGATCTCTACCACAACAAGAAAACAACAAAAACTTCTAAAACAAGTATCAGGGGAAGAAGCTACTCTGAACTGGCAGTGTGGCTCAAGTGGCAGACTGCCTACCTAGCAAGCATGAGACCGAGTTCAAACCCCAGTGCTGCAAAAAAAAAAAAAAAAACCTGAAACACAAAGAGCATCTAATTTGCCCAGAGCTGCCTCATTTCTGCTTACTTACAATTTGCCAAGCTGCTTTCCTCTGCATTCATCACTAACAACAACGTCTTCCACTCTTCCTCTCTGAAAATAGGTGCAGTGAGTGTTTAAGGACTGAGCATTTAGTATTGTTGTGTAAACTTGAGCTTCACAGAAAACAGATGCAAACAATATACTTTTTAAACATAGTATCAGGGAAGTATAATGAATCATCACCATTTTTTTTTTTTTTTAGCTATATCCTCAACTTCTCTACTCCATTTTGAAGCAAATCTCACAATCCATACCACCAAAATGTAATCTTGTCATAAATGGTATGCTTAATAGCAGTTTATTTCAGACACTGCATAAAGTTTTCCAATTTCTACTGCAGAAACCCTACCAATGGGCTGAGTGTGGAGGTGTGCTACCTACTAAGAGGTAGAGAAAGGAGATTCACTATTTAAAGGTCAGGACAGGATTCTTTCTAGAGGGCCTTTTGGCTCAGGCTGGCAAAGAAGCTAGAAACCCTATCTAAAGCAAAAGTGGATAATGTGGGCTGGCCCCAGCAGGTGAAAAGGGATGAAAAAAGAAAGGTGCAGTGAATGCTGAGAGTAACAAATAATGAAGAGCCAGAAGCAAAGGTCATGTGACTGCTGGGCAAGGATGGCTCCGCTCACGTCTGTAATCCTAGCTATTCAGGAGGCAAAGATCAGGAGGATCACGGTTCAAAGCCAGCATAGGCAAATAGCTGTGAGACCCTATCTCAGAAAAAAGGAAAAAAAAAAAAAACAAGAAAGGGTTGGTGGAGTGGTTCAAGGTGAGTTCAAGCACCAGTACCCCAAAAAAGAAAACCAAAAACAAGTGAGAGCCAGAAGCAAAAGTCATGTGACTGACGGGCTAATTAAAAATTTCAAGCAAGTTACAGTGTATGACTGTAAAGCATCTGGGTCAGATGACTATTGTTCCTAGTTCACCATGTTAGGAATACAGATTTGGACATTTTGTTGAAGTATAGTAAAAATATCCTAGTGTACAAAGTACTAAGAAAAATTCTGAGTGTAGATCAGAGGTTTAGGCTCTGACTGGCGGTAGTGCTCGGGAAGGTTCCTTTTTCCAGCACCAGTGGTTGTGTAAATGCCGGCCCTAGTATTCTTCCTAGGTACCCAGGAAGCCCAAGAACCTAAGTGATAGCCTAGCAGTCTCCACTTAAAAATGAATACAGGTTGGGAAAGGCAGTTGCATGTCTTAAGTGAAATTGTTTTAATCACTGGTTTTGTGAAATGAAGTGGAGCCCGTGGCTCACCTATAATCCTAGCTACTCAGAAGGCAGACATCAAGAGAATATTCAAAGCAGACCACAGCAAATAGTTTGAGAGACCCTCTCTCAAAAATACCCAACACAAAACAGGGCGGGCAGAGTGGCTCAGGTGGTAAAGCTCCTGCCTAGCAAGCATGAAGCCCTAGTTCAAACCCCAATACCAGCAAAAAAAAAAAAAGGCTAGGGGTATGGCTTCAGTGCCTAAGTATGGTGAAAAAAACCCCAAATTCATAAACTACAGAATACATTTCTAAGTATTCCTATCTTTCATTGAATTACATAGGGTGTTTTTTGTTTTTACTATTTCATGTGAGTTCATGAGGATGAAAGTACACTACAAGCATTAAAAGGGTCAATTTGAACAGATTAGTATTCTGCAAGTTATCACTTGAAAACTGGTAAAGTACTGTTTTTTGAAAAAATGTAATATTAAGGATCCTTAGCATAACTGCCAAATTGCACGATACCTGTGTTTTCTGTGAAAAATAAAGCTACCAAACGTAGCTTTATTGCAAGACAATTGTAGCAGATTATTCATACTATTAGTATTAGTAATAATGTTTTCCTTTTATAGTTCTCAGAAAAAGTTCCTGTTACTAAGCGATTTCTCCAAGTCAATGAAAAGCAGTGAGGATACAGTGTGAAAACACCTATTATTCTCATAAGCATTAATGTGGCCACATACCTTAGCACAGGAATGGATGAACTTATGTTCTATTATCAGAGTTGCTGTAGCAACAATCTGTCCTAGGGTCACATCTTCCACAACTGTGACATAATAGTCCCCAGATTGCTTCATATGCTCAAAAGATTCTGTGGAAATTGGAAAACAAAAGTGTTACATGATAGACATTTGATTTTATTAGGTGCCCCAAAAATACTAGGATTGGCTGAGCTTATTGCTGAATAAAGCTATTTACCATACTAATTTACTTTCCCATTTCTAAAATCATTACATTCTTAAAACTGACTAAGAATAGAATTTGCTAATATTTCAAATTCTTGATCTATAGTCCATATTGATTGGGCTATAGTCCATGAGTTTAAAATAATCTACTAGCAATATAAAACTGCTAAGAGTTATTTTAGATGAACACAATCAGATAAATTTTACATGTTGCTATTCCTATGATTAATTAAAACTTAAATATTTTCATTACTTAGTTACTTTAACTACATTTTTTTAACCTTTACTCTCAACAGATTCTCAAAAGAACAAAACAAAACTTAACAAGAGTACATTTACATCCTGTAATTTATAGTCTTGGTTTCAAAATATTTTGACAAAACAGTTTTCGTTTTCCCTTTGTGATTCAAGTGTTTCATGATTACATAGCTTCTCTTTTAGAAACAGAATCATTGTTTTGGTTTGATTCAAAAGCACCTTACAAATGTGAAAAATATGTCTCCATTTCCTAGAAATTTTTCCAAAGTCACTTAACAAACAGGACTAAAGATACTTTCACCTCAAATGATTAGTACTTATCATTTAAAAAGTACAGTTTCTCCTCTGATCTGATATGCATGCCAAGAGAAATTCGGGCGTTAAAGAAACAAGCCTAATGACTCTCATACTGTTCATTTTGTCATATTCTACATAGGCCAAAAGTAGGAAGGAGAAATACATTCAAGGAAGAAAAATAAGCAGTAAGAAATGGAGAAGGATGGTCTTCATTCTCAGCAGGGTCAGAGATTAAAGAATTGCAGAAGACAGGAAAAGGCAGTGGTAGAGGACTTGCTGAGGTTCAGGATTCTAATCCTTTCATTACTAACAACTACCTATGCTTCTGGGTAAGACTGTAGGTCTCTCTGCATGCCCATTTTCTCATATGTGGCCAAAAGGAGTCATATAACTATAAGATACCTGCTAACCTAAAATTTCAATGTAAGAGCAAAAGGTTAAACTTTAAAGTCTGATCATATGCTCATGCATTTTTTATCTGGTGATGAAATTTCTGTGACCACTAAAACCACATGGAAAGAAGTGCAACAATGAAAAATCTCTAGAGTAGCCTCCTACATATAGTACCTGCTATGCTACAGTCAGGTTATTTTGCAAAACAAAGTAATTACTACATTTGGATTCTAAAACAACTCAGCTATGTTAAACATTTAGTTAAGAAAATGATTCGTCTGTTACTTGAATAACTTCCAACTATTTGAACAAAAATAGAAGCAAATATTAACAGCTCTAAATAAAAATTAATTTCCTTTTGTCTCTTCATTCAGGGAAAATAAGCTATAGTACTTACTCATAAATTGCTCAGGGTTGACAACTCCAGTCTCTGTCAGCTGACCCAATACCTTAAAAAAACCTAGTTTTGAAAAAGATTTCAAGTCATGAGAAGAACAAAAAGAAGATAAGTATGAAAAGAAGCAACCTGGTGGGATATGAGAAGTTATTTCTCTAAAACTTTTCATAATCATCTTTTAATTGCTTTATTATTCAAAAAGATTAAACAAACCTTATTCTTTCTATAATCACTACAACAAAGAATAGGTTTCACTCATGTTTTTGCCTATGTAAGATTTTTAGAATAGTGCAGACCTTAAAATTCAGTAGCTATAACTAACTCTTTAGAGTTAGTAAATACATTTTTCAATATTGTGTTCATTGCAAGGGATTCCAAATTCTCCCAAATACATGATTTGGTTCAGAGTGCAAAATTCTCAGTGTGACCAAATATAGTATTTATATAATAAAATATAAATAATATATTGTCGAGTCTGTAATTTTTTAAATTCTCAGTTAATTTCTTTAATGTGAAAAACACATTTAGAACTTTGAGAGTCTTAACTTTCGTAAGATTATCTGACCAAAATTAGTTTCTTCAGATTTTCTACCCAAAAGAAAACTGAGAAATAATAACAACATTTAAGGAAGTTATTTTGGAACATTTAGATGTTAATAAAAGAAATATATAGAAACAGACAAAATCATTTCAATTTATCCAAAGGAAATTAACTTTGCCCTCATTTCCCACCCAACTTCTTAGAGAAGAGGCTCTTGCTTGTGTGTTGTTTACATGGTAACTTCACGATTGTTTATGAGAAATCGTTTTGGAAGGCATATTGTTGTGTTTAAGTCATGTGAAATACCTGACAGTAATATTTGGTCTTAGCCATGATACACATTCATTGGAATTGAGTATCTCAGTCATTTTAAAAACTGAAGTACAAAAAATAGTACAAAGATCAAATTTTAAAAAAAATTATCAGCATCATAATGTTCATGGAGAAAACAATATAATTCTAATCAGGATTTGCAAACTAAAATGAGTCCATACCTCTGTTTAAGTCAGCAGTACAAAGAGGTCTCAAAACCAAGCCTTCTCCAGGATGTGTTGGAGAAATGGCTGGAGAAAATGTAGCTGTATTCTGACTCCAGTCCACTTCTTTGAGTAGACTTGGGTCAAACATAGGAGTTTCATCAGGTTTCATCTTTCCAGTAAGGTCTAAAATAAAATTTTAAACATTAAGGTAGTTTATTTAATAATAGAAAAACTATTATAATTGATAAGTTAATCTCTTCATATAAACTGACCTGTAAGAGTCATGCAAGCTATTTTATTTTAGCCTACACAGAATCTAATATCAGATGCTACAACCACAAAGAGAAAAGTAGGACTGGTGGTGTGGCTCAAGTGGTAGATCGCTTGCTTTGCAAGCACTCACCTTGAATTCAAACTCCAGTCCCAGTGATAACAAAAAACATTACTTGTGGGGCATCGGTGGTTTACAGCTAGTATGTAATCCTCGCCACTGCGGAAGCTACGATTGGGAGGATCAAAGTTCAAGGCCAGCCCAGGCAAATAGTTCAGGAGACCCCTGCTCCAAACCAACTATACATAGGAGGTGTGGCTCAAGCAGTAGAGCACCTGCTTTGAAAGTGCAAAGCCCTGAGTTTAAACACCAGTCACCAAAAAAAAAAGGATATAGAAAAGGCATGCGTACTAATGGATTACTAAAAAGCTCATGCTCTTTCCTGGCTCCATTAATTTTGTGAGCTTGGGCATGTTACTATCTGAACCTTCACTCCTCATCCATTAAAATGGAGGTGATAACACCTGTAAGATTATTGAAGTAGATGAATTAGTAATGTGTAAAGTTCTTTCAACCATGCCTGCCACATAGTAGGTACTGAACAAGTGTTAGGTTCAATGTCAGCTGTGTGATCTTGGCTAAGGTAAGTAAGCTCTTAGTCTTGTTTCCTCATTTGTAAAACGAGACTCAATTATTAGAAGGACAAAAAGAACAAGTGTCAGGCAATCACTAACAGCACCTGGCACACTGCAACTACTCAGTAAGATATATTCCAGTAAGTGACAAATTTAAAATTCATTTGATAAATTCTTACTAATTTTCACCTTTTATCCTGAATCGGGCACTTTGCTGGGTAAAGGGACTATTAAGAGTGACAAAAGTTAGCATTCTGGGATAGTCAAGGATAAAAACGTAGTTTTATTACGTAGGATACTGAGGGTTTTGTTTTCTTTCAGAAAGGATTCAGAGCAAACAACATTAAAAATATATAAATCGTGATGGTTAAAACAATCACTCCCAGGCACCAATGGCTCAAGCCTGTAATCCTCGCTACGCAGGTGGCAGAGACTGGAGGATTGAGATTTGAAGCCAGCTGGACAAATAGTTCGTGAGACCCCATCTCGAAAACACCCGTCACAAAAAAAGGCTCAAGGTGTAGCCCAACGTTCAAGGACCAGTACCACAAAAAAAAAAAAAAAAAACCACCACAATCACTTAAATCACTTAGCTTACCATCCACGCTGAACAGATTTTCATAGGTTAATTTTAGGGCATGCATTTTAGTATTTGTCCATGATAAGCGGACCCCTGAGGCCTTGATGTATAATCATACTCCAAAGATGGGTATGTTGTTTTTCAGGCATTCAAGTAAGCTCAATATCAATAAAATGTGTACATTAAATATAAAAGCCAAAAAATGGTACTGAATCTTAAAACTCCCTACCTCCAAACCACCTGTAATGCTCAGCTCCAGAGACCACATACATACTTGCTTTTCACTCACCCCATCCTGCCCAAGCCCCTCCCCTCCCATTCTAAAAGGATTGTAACCGGGTGTGGTGCATGCCTATAGATCCCAGCACTCAGGAGGATCACAAGACCAGCCTGGGTTACATGGCAAGTTCCATAGCAAGACCCTGTCAACATATACATGTATAATATTTAATATATTTATGTTAAATATATTATTATATAATAAAACATTTTTAAGTTTTTTAGGAGCTATTTGACAAAACATAGCTGTATTTAAGGCTTGCTTTACATCTCATTGCCCTCAAATGGCAAAATTATGCTGGCTTCTAACATGCTGGGAAAGGTAAAGCATCATGCTATTTATCATGTTTCCAGAGGATTTTAGAAAAGAACTAAATAGGGAACTTTGACTTACAAAAGAAAAATATTTTAGCATCTTAAGGTGCCCCCAGATACTGCAAAACCAGGAAGTTTTACTATACCAAATTCCGTATTTATTTGAAGCTGAATCTCATAGTTATGGTCTTTAATTTTAAAAAGTAAACACTGGAGCTTCCCTATGCACATGTGAAGGTTCCTGGAGGGTGGCACACCTGAGAGGGCATGAAGGTGCATCCCTTCCCACAAACCTCCATCTCTGCAACCTTTGTATCCTTTGTAATAAACCAGTGAACAGTCCATGCTGAAGAAGCCTTGGATCCCTATGACAAGCCATTCTCTCTGAAGCTAGGGGCAAGCTGAAAGAGGAAAGAACTGTTAAAAGCCTCTGCTTATACTGGCACAGTATCATTTCCACCCACATTCCATTGGTCAGCCAGCCATGTCCAAAGGCAGTGGGTGCAAAGCACACTATCTACACAGACACGAAACAAAGGTTGGAGAGAGGAGAAATAAATGTAAACAAATGACACTATCACAACTTTCCAGTAACGAGAGTCAATTTAAATCAGTTTCTAAGCTTCACAACCATGACCACAGTAAAAGATCCAAAATAGTCAATAAAACTCTTTAATACCATTTACGAAATGGAACACATGATGAAGAGCCCTAAACTTCTGGTCATGAAACTGAAGATGTGATTTAGGCTGATGGAATTCAAGCCTCATCAAAAACCTAATCACAGCTGGACACTTGTGGTTCAAGCCTGTATAATCTAGCTACTCGGGAGGCAGAAATAAGGAGAATCAAAGTTGGAGGCCAACCTGGGGCTAACAGTTCACCAGAGGCTATCTCAAAAATACTCAACACACAAAAACAGAGGTGGCCAAATGACTAAGCAGTCAAGCGCCTGGCTAGCAAGTTTAAGGCCCTAAATTGAAACCCCAGTACTGCAAAAAAAAAAAAAAAAAAAAATCATAAACCAGGGCCCTGGAGCACATTTATAATCCCCATACTTGGATGGCCGAGACAGGAGGCCAGCCTGGAATACATATCCAGACACTGTCTCAAAAACCCCATAAAAAAATAAAATTAGTAGACGTGGAGAAAAAGTTTTAATGGTTTTAAGATCCTTTATCCTGCTGTAACTTAAGGTCACCTCCATTCCTTGAAATTTGGTTATGTGAACTAAAAAAAAACAAAAAAACAAGCAAGTCCTCCTATAGTCCCAGTTTTTTTTTTAACTGCTAAATTAGCATGTATTTACAAGGGCAATATATTGCCTAGCCCTAGCCCAGTAAACCCTAGTGAATGAACAACCAATGATTCAGTTCCCCAACCTTTATATCAGATTGCATACAAATGAAGTGGAGCCATTTCTAGGAAACACTGAAAGCAACAGGAGTATACTCTGAAGATTAAGATTTACAAAACTGGCCGGGTGCTGGTGGCTCACACCTGTAAACCTAGCTACTCAGGAGGCCAAGATCAGGATTGAGATTAGAAGCCAGCCCCAGGGAAGTAGTTTGAAAGACCCTATTTCAAAACTACCCAACATACACAAAAAGGGCTGGTGGGGTGGTTCAAGTGGTAGAGTACCTACAAGTGTGAGGCCCTGAGTTCAAACCTCTGTACTGCCAAAAAAACTTACAAAACTGATACTCGAATTTAAAAAAACATAACCTAAGGCCAAGTCTCTCACTAGATAGGTAAGTGGACAGCTAATTCAGTACATGATGAATGGGGGAGGAGGGATCTGTGCATTAGGATTTATCTATACACTTTAAGTCAATTTCAGCAATCTGACTAATTTGAATCTAAAGGATATTTCACTCACTGATGGGATTTTCAAAAGAATTTTTTCATAGTTTAATTGATGTTTAACATCTAGCAGTATTCCCAGTCTACTGATCAGAAGGTAGAGCACAGAGGTTTTCCAAGACTTTTCTCCAGGTAACAGATGAAATGAAATGAGTGAACTTGAACTTGAATCCTCTTGTCTTCCCACCTGGAGCTCTACAACAGGACACTCAACAAATGTCAGGCTTTGCGTCAAGGCACATGACAGGTAGCTCTGTCTACCCTATTTCGCAAATCTAAAACATCAAAATTTCCTGAGACCCATTCTTGGATCCATTCATGAGTGATTATCCTAACAAAACGAATCCCACAATCGCCCGTTCCGTTTTACATGAAAAATTTTAAGAGTTTGGCTTCCATAACCATCAGCTTCCTTACAGTAGAAATGACACAGCCCAGAGAAGATAAAGATGCCCCCAGTCCCTGGGGAAGACGTGATGGTCACTGCCAGCGCCGGGAGAGGGGAGCCTGGGCGCTCGAGCTGTCCAAAACCCACGGACTGGAGCGTTGTTCCAGCGCCGGTTCCACTTGCTCGTGGCCGCTCGCCACCCATGTGCACCCGGCGGCCACAAGAACGCCCGCCCCCTTCTCCCCAAAGAGCGGCTTCGGGGTGCCACAATCCTGACGCAGGCCCCAGGACGCACCCCAGAGGCCGGCCCCGATTCCCAGCCCCCGGCCCGTCCTCACCTGCCGTGGCCCAGCAGTCGACGCTCCCCCGGCAGTCCCCCTCCGGGCTGCACCGCACCGGATCCGGATCCGGCTGCAGCGCCAGCCCCACCTCCTCCTGCACCGCCCGCGCCACAGCCGGGAACCACGGCACAGACGTGGCAGGATCGACGCCTCCACCCCGCCCCCTCCCCTCACGCAGGGCCGCGCGCACGCGGAGGCCGAGCGCCCGCGCGGGGCTCCGGGGCGCGGGGCGGAGCTAGAGGTCGAGGGGCGGGACTAGGGGAAGAGGGGCGGGGTCTTGTCACGTCAGCGCGCCGCGCGAGGAGCCGAAGCCTGTGCTCCAGGTGAGCTTTCTGTAGCTCGTGTCTCGCGGCGTCGCTGTCTAGATTTTTGTGAATGAAGTCGGCCCAAGGGTAGGCTAAGCAGCGCAAGCGGTGCCACAGTGGGCTCCTCGGGTTCCCAGAGCCCGAAGCTGGCGTTCTTCTTTTGTCCCCTTTTGGGGTCCCTCTCCTCACGCTCCAACCTATTCATTAGGACCTGCGGAACCCACTAGCAGCTCACGGACGGCGTCCTTCCCAGTTCCCGAGTCAGTTCCTACTTCATAGAAACTGAGCTGGGACCCTGAGTTTTGCTCCATCGGGACTGTTATTTCTCCCTCAGACCCTTACAGGGTGAGCATGGGATTAGAACAGGTTCTCCGCGGCAGTGACGTTGGAGCGTTCTCATCTGGGGCAGACGTGGTGCTGTCTCCAGCTGGCGGAGATGGGCGGAAGCCAGCGCCTCGCAGCAAAGATAAAGAACGCCCTGACCTGAATTGTCGGACTGCGAGGTTGAGAAGCCTTGGTTAGGAAAGAAAAAGGTGACTTTCCCCTGAGCTCCCATTTCCAAAATATCTGACCTAAGTAGCATTTGTACCCATTTCACAGATTTGGAAACCTTAAGTAATTTACAGTCATATGGCTAGCAGCACTTCTTACAAAGTACTTTATTCTTAAGGAATAGTATTCAAAGAATTTAACACCATAGATCTTCACCAGAAATTAGATTTTCTCTCGTTTGTGAGATTTAAATAAGGGTTACTTTTTTTTTCTTTACAGATAGGGTCTCTCCATCCTGATGTAGCCCAGGTTGGTCTCAGACAGGAGGTTCTCTTGCCTCAGGCTCTCAAGTGCTGGGATTATAGGTGTTTACCTCTACTTCCGGCTTTACTTAACTATTGAGTCATACATTTAAATATCAATGAGGGTAATAGCATCCACACAAGGCCTAAGTAAAAATAAGCACCCATGTACACACCACTAATCTTAAACATACAGCTCTGTTTCCCAAGCACTGTACGTTTTATAATTTGCCAGTGAAACAAAATTATAGAATCACAAAACAGAGGAGCTCTAAGAGCTACCCCAGAAAGCTCTTGCATTCCAGACATACTCCATGCTCCCACTGTACTGTTGGAACCCAATTTCTCCTTAATAGTCAAAATCAATCACTCTAGCCAGTGTAGTAACCCCTTCTTTGACATTTGGCTTACTTGGCAATGAGGTAGTCAGGTGACCATCTCAGCTTCTGGTTTAATGGAACCATTTGTATGATTTTTGCTTATAGATTCTTATAAGAAATGCTGCATCACCAGTATTCTTGATTGCATTATGTGGAAAATATGTATAACAGTGATTGAGTTGAGAAATGATTCAGCAATGCTAGATTCAATGAAAAGTTAAACTATCCCTTAAACAGGAACTAGGGGGTGTAGAGCATATCCTTACCATGCATGAGACAGTGGGTTCAAGCCCCAGCACAAAGGTTTTTTGGGGTTTTTTTGTTTGTTTGGTTGGTTGGTTTTTTTGATGGGACTGGGGTCTGAATTCAGGAATTCACATTTGTAAAGCAGGCACTCTACTGCTTAAGCCACACCTCCAGTCCATTTTGCTCTGGGTATTTTGGAGATGGGGTCTCAAGAACTATTTCTGCAGGCTGGCCTCAAACCTCAATGTTCCTGATCTCAGCCTCCAAGTAGCTAGGATTACAAACATGAGCTACCCGGCACCCAGCTTCAAAAAATTTTTTAAGAATACATTTACTAGTTATTCTCATTCTCTAGCTATGACCCCCTTAATCTATTGGCAGTTATTCCTCTCCTAATAAACTTTACTATCACTTTTACTGTATGATAATAATAATAATACCTTTACCAAGCAGGGCATAGTGGTGTATATAGTCCTAGCACTAAGGAGCCTGAAACAGGAGGATCTCACATTTGAGGTTGGCATGGGCTACATAGCAATATCCTGTCTCAAAAAATATGTGTGTATGTGTATATATACCTTAACCAATATATTTCATTCATACTTTCCTCTTAATGTTTCCACAGTATTAGATATAACAATCCCTGTCCAACTAAATAAAAGAACTCTTTTACTAAATGTTAAAAGTTCCAAATGATAAGAAAGCATGTAATACAGTTTTAAATTGGTCACTTTGATTCTTTCTCGTGGTTTATGAAAAATAAATAAAACTCTTAGAGCTAGGGATGTAGCTCAGTAGTACAGCACTTGCCTAACATGGATTCAATCCCTGCCACAGTCAAAAAAAAAAAAAAAAAAAGAGAGATAGAATAGAATAAATAAATAATAAAAGGAAACTATTAGTGTGGCTTGATGATACAAAAAAGATATATTCTGCTATTTTTGTATATGTCTGAAAATTCACATGAAAAAATTAAAAGCAAAAAGTAGCCCTGGCAAAATTCTTATAAAACTTTTATCTGCATTTTGGGTGAAAAAAAAATCACATGAATTGAATTCTCAATTCAGTCCAAAAAAATTTTTTATAACAACTTACCTCCTCAGAAACAATATTTTAAATTGCTTGTTTCTCCACATCCTTACTAAGTCTGACTATGGAGGTTGCTGGGTTTTTTCACTATATAATTATGTATGCTAGTCTTAACTTTCCAATTATTTGCTAAATTCTTAATTCATATTTTTAATTCCCCCTTTCTACTATTTAAAGTGGTTGGGCATATAATAAATTCTCTATAAAAATTTTCAGTTGAGAAGGTTAGTTATTTTATTGTTACTTCCTAATAATTCATATGCATTTTGCTATATTGAGCATGTAAAAGAAAAAAAATATGCTATACAAAATATTATATCCACACTAATTTTAAAGTTTAAACCAGAAAGAGCTGTTTCAAGCCAGGTGCCGGTGGCTCAGGCCTATAATCCTAGTTACCCAGGAAGCAGAGATCAGGAGGGTTCGAAGCCAGCCCAGACAAATAGTTCATGAGACCCTATCTCAAAAAACCCTTCACAAAAATAGGGCTGGCAGAGTGGTTCAAGGTAAAGGCTTCGAGTTCAAGTCCAATACTGTTTAAAAAAAAACTGGTTCAAAAATAGTTTTGATTTTTTTTTTTCAAATAATTGGACCGATGTGAGGTACAATTTGAAGAGGACCTTTCTTAGTCACATATTTATGATTCTTCTATTTAAAAATGTTTGTTCAGTCGTTTACTTTCTGTTTCCATAGAAATAAGTTCTATTACATAAACATTTTGGCAGATTCCATTATTTTTTGGTTAGAATGACCAGCAGTCTCAACTGAGATGACTGTGATTAAAGCAGAAAATGAAATCAGCCTACTTCAAGTCCCAAAATTTTGCTCAACTCCCACTTGACTAGATTGTGAGATCACTCCCAGACACCGCTGGGAGTGTCATGAAAAGATCATGCTTTAGAACCACCCTGCACTTAGGGGAAATGGTGACAGGCTGGCCACTCAGTGAGGAAGATGGTATTAGTCACATATCTAACTAGAACATAATGTTTAAAGGAAAATTCATGACATTGTGGAGAAACTGTGTTACAAGAGCTGGGGTGGGCTGAGGGTGTAGCTCAGTGGAGAGAGAGCATCATCTTAGTGTGCATGAGACCCTGGTGATCCCCAGCCACAAAACTAAATAAAAATGTGAACATAAAAAAAAAAAAAAAGAGTGACCAAAGAAAAGATAAATTACAAAAATAGAATATCTCTATATTGTAATAACTTTCATAGGAGAGTTGCACTTTTATGGCATTTGAAATGCCATAATGACTTGGAAATCTGGTACATAAAAAAACTTTTGTTTTCATAATTTAGTTCTCTGTAATTATAATTGTTTTGAGGCAAGTTTCCCTACCTGGAGAACACTGTTTACAAAGGAACAATTACGGCATTCAGCTAACATCCGGTTTGAAACATTTTGGGGATTTGGAATGATTTTTCACTGTCAGACTATCTAATCACAAGTCTTACCTAATTATAAAAACAATTCCAAGTAGTGGCCTGACTTCAATGTCAAATACAGTAAACATGGCATCATCATGACTCAAAGGCCACCCAAACTGCCTTGAGATGATAAACAGTAGTTTTAATCACTGAACCTCAAGTTTTCATCCAAAAAGTAGAGACACAATATCTTTCTTCTGTGTTTTACTGGTGTGTATGCCAAAATCCTGAGCTTAGGGTTTTGGTTGTTTGTTTTTGCCATACTAGGATTTTAAGTCTGGGCCTACACCTTGAGCCACTCCACCAGTCCTTTTTGTGATGTTTTGTTTTAAGATAGGGTCTCAATAGGCTTCGAACTACGATCTTCCTGATCTCTGCCTCCTGAGTAGCTAGGATTACAGGCGTGAGCCACCTGAGCCTGGTGCTCTTTTTTCTTTCTTTTTTTCCTTTTGGCAGTACTGAGGTTTGAACTCAGGGCCTTATTCTTTCGAGGCAGGTGCTCTTACCACTTGAGCTACTCCACCAGCTCTCTGAGCTTAGTTTTAAGCAGAAACTCAAGCAAAGGGAGCAATAAAGAATAATAAAATAAGCTCTCTTGGTTCTGTAAAACGAATGTTCCACATGTTAATTTCTAATCTTCCTCTCAAGAGAGAATGTCCATAGTGTCTACCCAAGAACTAGAGCTTCATGTTACACCCCCTATCATATCCCAAATTCACTATTCAGTCATCATTCATTTAGTGAACTGATCATTCACTGAACATTAAGATCTTACTTTGTGTCAAGCAAGATGCTAGGAACTAGAAATACAAAGAGGAGTATGAGATATAGTTCACCCTCCTGGGAAC